GGGGGAGGCAGCGCGGGGGGGTGGGGGAGGCAGCCCTGTCCCTCCCACCTGAAAGCCCTACCCCACCCAGGAGTGCAGAGCTGACAGCTTTACTGAAACTAGATATTGGAAGGAACAAGTGGATTTAAATTTTCAAGGGCTTACTTAGCAGTTGTTGAATTTGTGAATCCATAACATGAGTTTAAAAACTTCTTGTAAATTTATTTTCTTTATTTGATATAACGATTTAAATGTACTTTACATCTTCTATTTCTGAGAAACCTACCACCACATCATTCTGGTTCCTATTGAATGCTGCTGATATTCCAGTTGGAAGTAGCCAGCCCTACTCTTCTTTAACAGGGCAAAGATATTACTACTGAATGATTCCTGACATCCTAGTCCATTAATGGTCAGAATTCTGTAGCCCATCATGACAGTGAGGTGAGAATAGGCCTAAACCTCCTTTTTGAACACTATTTAAATTCTAACAACTATTGTGTTTCCCTCAGTTCTTAAATACCCACTCATTTTCGATATCTTTGTTTTCCTGACAGTATGCCTAGGGGAGTTAGAAGAACTGCAAACAGATGCTATATCTTTTACATGATTTTTATTCTAAATAGAATATGCAGTGATGTGTATAAGTCATCAAATATTAATTTTCAATATAACATGCAGAGAAGACAGTGAGCACAAAGAGAAGGTGCAGAATTTTCTGAAATTTTCCTTGGGTGTTGGAAATACCTTCATTATGGTGCAAGGGGGTAGGCAAACGTTTTGGCCTGAGGGCCACATTGAGCAGGAAATTGTATGGAGTACAATTGTATGGTAGCGAAAGTTTGGGAAAGCTGTACCTCCACAATGTGGCTTGTCTCCTGCCCCCATCCACTCCCTCTGATCTCCATCCCCTGATCATGCTGCACAGAGCATTGGGGTTGACCGTGTTACCCAGGTGCTGGGGAAGCTGAAGCTGTGGGGGGGGCGAGGGCAGAAGAGGAAATGCTGGGGGCTGGCCAGCCCTGCTTGCTGTGCTGCCTGGGAGCTGGGCTGGCTCCTCTTGGCAAGGCTATCTGGACCCTGCATCCCAGCGAGAGCTTGGGATTTGAACTGAAGGGTCTGATGGCCTGGATGTGTCCCGTGGACCATAGTTTGCCCACCCTCTTCCCCCCCCCCCCCCCAATCATGATCCTTTCAAATGCTGAGCCATATGAGAGAGTAACTTGCAGGGCAATCGGACCAATTATAACATTTGGAAAGCTTTCTTCTCTTCATTATTTGGAATGCTCAAATGTGTTGAGAACCACTGCTTTATGGCAAGCTCTATTGTCCCCCGGCTGGGCTTTATTTATAATTGAGCCTGGCCCACCCTGCAGTGCCAACAGGCAGGTTAATCGATCTCAGGGTCATATTCATATTCTTCCTTTCCCACCCATATTAACCTTTTCCCTAGATGTGTGGGATGAGCACCGCATCAGAGGGAAACCTACAATTCTAACAGTCTGAACTATGCTCATCTGGCCAGTGAACTAAAGGGAGAGCACTTAAGCTTTTAGGTCCTTTACTTTTGCAGAGACAAATTCTCTACTGTATATATTTTGTAAGTTATTTTGAATATTCCTGTTTGAGATTTAACAGTTCAACCATGAGAAAAAAATTGACTGACTTCATATTCTATTTTGATGCATTTCAGCTTGGCCAGGGATGACAGGTAGAGCATTTGGAAGTACAGTGTCAACGAAGTCTGCAGTCAGTGCCTAATGATACTATAAGCTAATTGTAGTGTTGTCAACACTCATAATTTTAAGACTTCTAAATATTTGGTGTTTTTTGGGATCATGTGGCTTGCCCTAATAGTTACTGAGAGAAGCTTGAAAAATTGACCAAAATTTACTCTAGATGCCCAGAAACCCAAAAGCTAATAAATAGAACCAAAGTGTGTTTTTAATCGAATTCTTTTTAAGCAAATGTCATGGTTTTTTGAATGCTTGAGGTTGGCAATATGTGGATTGCCGTCCATAGTATAGTTTTGCCAATTAACCAGAAATATGAAGGAGGGGGAGAAACATTTTTCCAGCTGCAAAACAGGGACTATAGCAGGGCATGAAACTAGTTGTTATAGTTTATAGGAGGAAAACATTCATGAATTGAGTCAGTTTCCCTCAGATAGCCATGGATGTAGGTTTGGGATAAAGCAGTAAATTAATTATGACATTATGGTTAATACAGAGACTAAATTATCTGATTCATAAATTAACTTAATAAAAGCTGCAGTTGGATTTATTAGTTTGGAAAAACAACCTCTCATCCCATACGTGGCAGTTTGAAAAAAATAATTAGGAATCCTAGTGGTGTGTGTGGTTGGTGGGTTTTTTTGTTTCCTTTTGTTTTTATATCTTGTTTGCCTTGCCTGCAAAGAAAATAACAGGCTGAAATGGGAATTTAGAATTTATGAATGAAAAGAGAGTTACAGGATTATACTGTGTGGGAGTCACTTTCAAATAGTGCTAGACTGGTCAGTTCTCCTGCTCTAATCTAAGTTGAAAATGAAAATATGCAATAGAAAAGCTAATGTTTACAGCAGTATTTACTTCCTGGCACCAGTTTTCCTTGCTGAGCAGAATTGCTATGTGCATTGCTGTATAATGGGCCAACTGTCTATTTCAGTTACTGGCAGCTTCTCTTGGTGTATTTAGACGTCTGTGTGTCTGAGTTGTTTGCTTCAGGTGTTCTTTTTTATCTAAATGGATACAGTACATTCATTAAATCTTTTAAAGCAAATTTGAGAAAAGGGTGTAATTATTAAGCTGAAAGGCAAACATAACATCTGTTGTTTTTTCTAGTTTTATTCATGCACCACAAGGTACTGACCTTATCAGTCTTAGTCAAGCAGAGAAGATGCAAAATGTATTTGTTTGAAGCAGAATGAAAGGAAACTTAAAAATGTCCAACAGACAGAGTTCTCTAGTTAATGTCAAAAATTGCACCTGACCAAAAGTAAGCGTAGACATTGAAAAATTACATCATCTTGACGCAACAAGTGATGATGGAATTTCTGTGGAAAATAAGGATGGAATGAATCAAAATGGATTTATGGAAGGTATATCAAGTGAACTTGACAGGATCTTTTTGTTGCGGATATCACAGATTTGATTGATAGAGTTGATAATAGTGTTGATATAATATACTTAGACTTCTGTAAGACATTTGACTTGGTAATACATGACCTTTTGATTAAGAAACTAAAATAGTATAAAATCAACATGGCACACAGTAAATGGATTAAAAGCTGGCTAACAGGCTCAATGTAAACTGAATCATCATTGAGCTGGAGTGTTTACAGTGAGATGGCTCAGGTGATGGGTGGCAGATACAATAGGCCAGGGAAGGCATTGCCTTGCCTGGTACAGCTGGGAACCCGACACTGAACAACTAGGTCACGGTGCCCTACTGAGAACCCTCCCCCTTCTGAGAACCCCACTGCCTCCTGAATGCCATCTCCCCTCCCCCAAAGATCCCAGCTGCTCACTGCCTCCTTCCTCATGAGAACAAGGGAGTGAGGAATGACATGGAGAGCTAGCAAACTGAGGAGACTCAGCATGGGGGATTGGGGCCTTCAGGGTGGGAGGACCTGGTGCTTGAGGAGGCTGCTGGTTCAGCCAGGGGATTAGAGACTCAGTCCAGTGCTGGGGGTGGGGCAGTGAGTCAGGGAGGCTAGTGATGGCTTGGCTGGATGTGGCTCGGATGGGCGGGCTGGAGCTCTTCCAGTCAGGAGAGCCTCTCAAGGCTTTTCCTTTTATAGGGGACGGGTGGACTTCAGGGCTGTCTGGCATGCAGGGGCAGGGCCTTGGGTGGAAGGGGTGGGGCCAAGGGCTTTGTATCCCCAACAAAGGAATCTCCCACCATCCATGGTCTCAAGGATTGGTTCTTGGCTATGTGCTATTTAGTGTCTATATTATTTATTACCTGGAAGAAAACATAAAATCATCACTGGTAAAGTCTGCAGGTGATACAAAAGTTTACCAAAAGTGGTAAATAATGAAGAGAGCATGTCATGCATATTTGGATCGCTTGGCACAAGAAAACAATATGCGTTTCAATAGGGTCACGTGCGGTGTTCCTTTTAACACTTTCTATCTCTAGGCGAGTTGAAATTTCTTATGTGCAACACCAATATTGAGGTAGCGTGTGGCTGTGCACCACCAATGCAAACAACTCACGCACGCACATTTAAGCAGTCCGAATGTGTGGAAGAATGTATATTAAAAAAAATGGATAGTTAAGAGCAATGCTTACGATATTTAAAATGAAATCAAATATACCCTGTATTAAATAGTAACACAGAATTTTAAAAAAATCATTAAGTTCAAAGTTTTAGATATCTGCAACCTTCCCCCCCCCCGCAAAAAAAAAGATTAATCTTTTTCTTTCTTACCTTAAGCCATTAACACCTATGTAACTTTCGTTTGAAATGTAGTCATGCAAATGTCCTGGCCACACACACATACCCCTTGCAGCCTGCTTCTCTCTTCCCCCAAAGCCAGCTAGCCAGAGAGGACTGCAGCAAGTGAGTCAGGGATACCCTAAACAAATTCCCTCCCCATCTCCACCTCATTGCACAGATGCCAGCACCCACCCCACCCCTTTTACTCCCACCTGTTCCTGTGCAATTTTCTCCCCCCAATCCAGGTGTGGGCTGGGATAAAATCCTGCTTCTCAAACTAGCAGGCACCAGCAGTCTGTCTTGTCCTAACTCCCACCTAAAACAGAAACAAATTATCCCCCACCTCACAGCACAAACTCACTCCCCCTCAATGCCAACAGCTCCCTTCTTTTCTCCACTGACCCCATGCAGTCAGCCTCTTATCTCCCGCTTCCCAGGAGGCTTGAGAGTTCCTGCCTCTCTCTCCTCAAACAGACAGGAGAGCTCACTTCTTTTCTCCACTGACCCCATGCAGTCAGCCTCTTATCTCCCGCTTCCCAGGAGGCTTGAGAGTTCCTGCCTCTCTCTCCTCAAAAAGACAGGAGTCTCCAAACTCTCCTCTCCTCTGACTCCGCCTCAGCCAGTCACACTCTCCTTCCCCCTCTGACTCCGCCTCAGCCAATCACTCTCTCCTTCCTTCCCCCCAGCCCTCTTCCTCCCCCTAGTCACTTATTTTCCCTTGTTTACCTGCTCTGGGAGCAGCTTCGTTTAGCTACTTACTTAGTGAGACGACAGCCTGCCCCTCGCCAGTCAGCTGAACTCCCTGCCTACGCAGGAGCTTTGAACTTTTGAGCAGAGCTCAGAAAACAGCTGCGCATTTGCACAGCTCACCAGGAACTTGGGTGACATGCCATCTCTCCCTCCCCCAAGGGTCCCAGCTGTTCAACACGTCCCTCCTCCCGTAGAACAAAGACTTACAGAATGGATGCTAACCTCTGTAAAGAGCTGTCAGCCGACTCCACTGATGTGATCAACAGATTATTTATGGAACTAACTGGCAAAGAAAATTCCACACTGACCACATTGTATATTCTGCCCCGCCACACCTTACTGAACTTGGCCCCATTGCACATAAAGATGATCAAGAACCTGTGGGAAAATATTAGTGTCGCAGCCTCCAAAACAGATCCTCTGCACGCCTGGCAAGTGAAGCCAGAGAACAACTGTGGCTGCTACTAATGGGAATAGTGAACCCCTCTTCCAGAGGAGCTGTCAGGGACCTACGGGTGAATTTAGACAGATTGGGTTCATTAGCTGAGAGAAACAGCCTTCTGACACCCTGAAGACTCCAGCAGGCAGCCTTAAATCCTGCAGCAACCCTAGGATTATGCTGCAGGCATGGAACACTATTGGGCAGCCATGTTTGTGGTTCTGCTTCCTGTTCCTGCTCTTCACTCCCCTTTTTATTCTAGCCGTCATTTCAAATCCCTGCTCCTGCTCCTTGTCTCTGGTTCTTTTCCTGATTTAGCTACGTCTGACTCCTAGTCCCCACTCTTGGTTTCTGCCTCCAGCACAGCTGGTAGCCTGGCTCTGATGCCCAGCCCCAGATTCCCAGCACTAGCTTGTTTCCTGCACTTAGTATTAGCACTTTGATGGTAGCTTCGCTTCTGATCTTTGGCTCTTGAATCTGGGTCACCTCCTGGACTTGACCAAATGGCCTGGCTACATTTGTTGAGTCCACTAAGCCAGCCTCTTGCCCTGACCATTAGGCTAGGTCACTCATACCTTGGTGGTTACAGTTTGAACAGCCTGGGAACCAGGCCTGCTGGAGGTTGTGACTGTGCCTGCTGGGGTCTTCAGCCAATCAGGAAGCTGGATTCATTAGCTGAATGAGCTGAGGGCAATGAACAGGGTTTCATGAGAGGTGTGGAGAAAGTGAATAAAGAGTTATTTACTCATTTGCATAATACAAGAACTAGGGGTCATCAAATGAAACTAATAGGTAGCAGGTTTAAAACAACCATAAGGAAGTGCTTTTTCTCTCAATGCACAGTCAACACGTGGAACTCCTTGCCAGGGGATATTGTTAGGTCTAAGTCTATCACAAGGTTCAAAAAAGACCTAGTTAAAGTCACGTAGGTTAGGTCCATCGTGGCTGTTAGCTAGGATGGGCAGGGATGGTTTTCCTAGCCTCGGTTTGTCAGAAGCTGGGAATGTGCAACAGGAGATGGCTCCCTTAATGATGATACTTGAACTGTTCATTCCCTCTGGGGCATTGGTCACTGTCAGAAGACCAGATACTGGGCTAGGTGGACCTTTAGTCTGACCAGTATGGCCATTTTTATGAGATCATCTAGTCTGACCAGTATGGCCATTCTTATGAGATCATATGCAAATCCCTGACAGAAGCACACTTGCCATAGTCCTTGGGGGGGAAAAAAAACAGAATGGTTCAGTCAATCCTCAAGAAGCCAACACCCGATCCTTAATATTTGCAGTGACTGTACTATCTTCAAGCTCCCATTCCTGGGCAAAATAATTGAGAAGGATCATAAACACACGACTCCAACAACATGTCATCAGCCAGCTTCCTGTATTCCTCACAGTTGGGGTTCAGATCAGGGTGCAGCAGGGACAGTGGCCGTAAAAGATTTCTCATGGCCTTGGATACAGGTAAGATCTCCATGCTTGTACTGCAGGACTTCTCTGCAGCCTATGACACACTGGATCACAGTGATGCATGCTAGTCCCACTTCTCTTTGATATCTACCTGTGACCACTGGTGGAGATAGTGAGCTGCATTGGGGTGTCAAGAAGAAATTATTTCTATGCTGTTTGGACTCTGCGTAGAAATTTTTGCCCTTCAAAAGTGCTTCAGTATTTTGCAGCAGCTTTTATTTTCTTTTGGAACCTAAAATGGTAAGTGTGTTGGCATCCTTTTGTCTGTGAGAGATGATGGGAATTGCAGCCTATGGTTTGCAATGTCTCATGTGATTGAATAGTCCAATCCAAGATTCACAGGATCTTTCACAGTTACTGCCAATGTATGTATCTTGATTGGGAACTACTTGTTCCTGTGGACTATTTTCTCTTCAAGCTATAGGAGCCAGTTTCTGTCTTGGACTTTGATGTCCTAATGGAGATGATGGCACCATTTATTATGTACAGAAATTTCCCATTGGACAGAATCAATTCCAAATCCTTTGCATGTGTTTTTATAGTGAAGCATGGGATGTCCTGTTGTTCTTGTTCCCTCTGTGTAGCAAGTCCTTGGGCATTTGCCGGTTTTCCAGCCTGCTCAGATAGACAACTGTGCTAGCTGGGCTTTGCTTGAGTGGGGCTATCTCACTTGGTAAATTTGCTCTTTGAAGAACTTCTGCAGGGGTGACTACCTTGCCATTTGGCGCTAAATATACAACGTGACCAATGTAGGTGGAATGAAACTGTTTAACCTTTTCACCTGATAAGCATAGATTGTCCATGTTCCCCCACCATATAGGAGAATGTGGAGGATGCATGCTTGGCGCACTAGAATTTTGGTTTTGAGGGTAAGCTTTGAGTCATTCCAAGCTCTTTTAAGTACCAAAAAAAAAAAAAAAAACCCCAAACCATAATGTAATGGAGTAGCAATCAACAGGTTTATAGATAAAGTAAGACAGTCATTTAACATTTCACTAGTTTTCATTAATTTAGAGCAAATGTAATTACCAGGGTATATACCATGTAAATGAAATGTGATAACATTCCCTTTTGTTCTGTTCTAACAAGAGAATTGAGTCAAACACAGTATGACCTTCTAGCAATTCTTTGATTTACGCATATCCGAGAATTGCCCTATTCATGCACAGCCTGTTACAGCATCACACCTGGATATTAATTTACAGAGAGATTTATAATTTGGTGAGAAGGGGTTGTTTGTGCTGTTTAATTCTATGCCTCTTAAGGACAGAAGCCTGAATGAACTGAGTGAATGGCTCTTCTTGTTTGCATCAAAGAAGAACCTCTCCCCTAACAGTTGTTTGCCCAGATGTTCATGAATAAGAAAAATGGTCACCAATTTAGTTGAATTAAATATCCATTAGAATCTGTGATTGCTACTTTTGTAACATTCAGGCACCTCTACGCAAGGATAGAACAAGCATGGAAATTGGACGACTGTTGTTCTTTTTAAAAGTCAGATTCTGGTGTGTTGGTTTTTGGCATGATCAAGAAGCCCACTGTAAGTGTTATAACCAGTTCTGTAGATGGAGGACTATGGTTGCTAAGACTGAGATGTTTCATGAATACTAAACTGAGCATAATCGTGATGGAAGGTAAGACGGAGTGGTTTCTGCAAGATATTAAGAACAGCTTTTTCTCTCGGACCATTCTTGGATTTGTTCCAAACTACCTTGAAAATAAGGGACCCTAATTTTTAAGGTGCTAAGGACACTTGGTTCTCTTTTACTTTGATTCAAGTTTGAGTATCCTAGCACTAATGAAAATAGATCCTGAAGACTTGAAAAATATTCTATTTTTAATAGCTAGTAAATTCAAGAGGCGGTATCCTAGCTGTGATAAAGCCATAGACAAAATTCCTATTAGTTTCAGGGGGAACCGAAAACATCCAGTCTGTGTGCAGTGACAGTCAAAAAAGCAAATAGAATTTAGGTATCATTAAAAAAGGAATAGAGAATAAGCCTCTATATTAAACCATGGTACGCCCACATCTTGAATACTGTGTACAGAATACAGTTACACAGTATGTAGTCACCTCATCTCAAAAAAGATATATTGGCATTGGAAAAGGTTCCGAAAAGGGCAGCAAAAATTATCCCTTATGAAAAGAGATTAAAAAGACTTGGACTGTTCATCTTAGAAAAGAGGAGACTAAGTGGCAATATGAGAGAGGTCTTTAAAATCATGACTGTTGTGTATAAGGAAAAGTTATTTACTTGTTCCCATATCATAAGAAATAGGAGTGACAAAATGAAATTAATATTTAGCAGGTTTAAAACAAACAAAAGAAAGCACTTGTTCATGCAGTGCATAGTCAGCCTATGGAACTCCTTGTCAGAGAATGTTGTGAAGACCAGGACTTTAACAGGGTTAAAAAAAGAACAAGATAGATTCATGGCGGTTAGGTCCATCAATTTTGTGTGGAAATGGGTGACAGGAGAGGGATCACATGATAATTACCTGATGTGTTCCCTCTATATTGGCCACTGTTGGCAGACAGGATAAGGCTAGATGGACCTTTGGTCTGACCCAGTAGGGCCGTTCTTATGGGATCAGGTTTTGACTTCATTTTCAGATTAATGAAGTAGTCTTAACCTTTGGATACAAGGTCCAGAATAATTTAGCAATAGCTGGTGAGCCAATATCTATGACAGACTTTATATTTGTGAAAAATGCCAGACCTTCTGTCCATCAAGGCTGAAACTTTTTTGTTGAACTATTGGATAGGTGTAACATAGAGAAATAGCAGTGTAAACTGCTTCACGTTTCCACCACTTTATTTATTCTAAATCCAAGAGGTAATATGCCTAAAAATAAAAAAAGTGTGTGGCCTGCCTAGCCTTTATCCAAACCCTGCACTGAATTAAAAATATAATGAACTAGATGTACCTGGTGTTTTTTGAAAATAAAGTGAAAATGTTCATGCTTCATTTAAATCATTGATCTGGCCTGGGGCTGGAGATGAGGGGTTCAGTATGCAGGCTACCCCAGCCTTCTCACCACAGCAGCTTGGGGCAATGTGAGAAGCAACTCACCTCTCCATGGCTGCTACAGTTCTACTGGGCACAGATCGGGGGAGGGTCCATGTCCCTTGGCTGGGGCAGGTCCAGGTTCGTCTGACCATTATACTCTTCAGTCAGAGGGAGGAATGCAGCAAACTGTGCACTTCCCCTCATTCACTGACAAAGAGGAACAGCCAGCAGTGTCCTCCTATGCATGGAAAGGAGGGGCGTTTCAGCCCCCCCCCAAAGGGGTGCCTTGGAGGGGTGGAAGGCTCAGGACTGGGGCAGTCCCAAATGGGGTGGAGGAGTGCCCCCAGCCAGCCTTTTTCACCTGACTCATTCTGTCTCTTCTGTGTGGTTTTCTGAGAAGCAATCCCATTCCAGGCACATCCAAGTGCCCTGGCACAAATGCTTACCTTGCTTTAAGTTATGGAAAGAGAAAGCAGTATATCTAATGTGGTGATGCGTGTGGTTTTCTGAGAAGCAATCCCATTCCAGGCACATCCAAGTGCCCTGGCACAAATGCTTACCTTGCTTTAAGTTATGAAAAGAGAAAGCCGTATATCTAATGTGGTGATGTTACCTCATACCATTTAGGAGGAATTCCTAAACAGACAAACTCTCTCAAATATAAATTTATTTTCCTGAAAAATATCTACTATATAATGAAAAAGAGCATACATACACTCCATGAAACCTATAACAACACTAAAAGTTACATTCAACCAGTCCCGGATATTATAAAAGAAGCATTTTTAACAGTTAGAAAACTTAAGATGGTTATAAGGAAGAAATTAAGTCCTCAAAAAGTAGAATACTGAAATGACATAAATGAGTAGGGGAGTGGAATAATATTAATTCAGCTACTATTCCCTAAACGGATAACCCATACATTTCTGTAAATACATTTTGCATACTGGTCAGTTACAGTTAATGTCCGTGTGTATTGAGGAAAAGAATCTAGATCAGGCCTGAGCAAAATATGACCCGTGGGCTGGATGTGGCCTGCCAAGCTACCAAACCTGAATGATGAAGGCAGCAGGGAACCCCAGGCAGGCTCCTCTGCTTGCCTCATACAGAAGTGCTGTGCCGGGGCTCCATTTCTGTTTTAAAACTGGAGGGGAGAGAGGAAGTTTCAGGAGCCACCCTGCCCATAGCACATTCCCATTGGCTGGTTTTTGGCTAGAAACCAGGTAATGAGAGCTGCTTGTTGGATTAACAGGCAGCCAAGAAGAGCCACACCCCCTTACCTCCACTCAGTTATTCAATGAAGCACATGGCCTGGCAGGCAGGCAGGTTGGGAAACACTTTAAGTTCTGCAGGCAGGCAGACTAGTTTGGCGGCTGGCTGGGAGGTCTCTTGGCCACAGCCTGCTTCTGGCACTCCAGCCTTTTCTTGCACCCCCACCCCATCAACATACCCAAACCCTCTATCCCCTTCTTATACCCATGCCCTCTCCCAGAACCCAGTCGCAACCCAAACTCCTGCCCCAGATCACAGTCCCCTCTTACTCTAGGTCACATCCCAAACCTCTGCATTCCAGTCCCCTGCCTTAAGTCACGACTACCTGCTTCATCCCAGCTCCCTCCCAGACTCCAGTCGCCCTCCTGCACCTCAAGCTCCCTTCTGCACCCAACCTCCATCGGAGAACCCTGCATCTCCTTCATTAATATCATGGAAGAGTGTGGCCCTCGACCACTTTCCAAAATCTTCGGAGTGACCCCCCTGTCAAAAATTATTGCCCACCCTTGTGCTAGATGATCTTCCGTTCCTCCTACCACGTTACTCTATCCTTTCCATATCTTAAAGAGACAACTATTGGCTCTAACCAAGACTGAGGGCTTGTCTACAGTTCAGTAGCACAGTGGTATTGCTATAGTGCTTACTGAAGACACTACTGATGCTGACAGATGAGCTCCTCCTGTCATTGCAGATAATCCACTTCTCTGAGAA